GGAGAGGCCACAACAGTGAGAGGCCCGCGTACCGCAAAAACAAAAGAACAAAAAACAAAACAAACAAAAAAACCACCTTAGGATATGAGTCAATTTCCGCACATTTTTAGCCTATTTAGTTCAACAGGTAAAACTGAAAGGAGGTGAAGTAGATAAACAATTAGAGATGGCCTGAGTAGCGTTTTAAACTTTTCTATGTGCTAATGTATCATAAGGTCATTTTTATGTCAGAATTCAGCTTAAAGCTGGAGCACATTTTCTCTGCTTACGTATCACAAAATAAATAAAATCAGTACTGTTAAAGAGAAAAATCGTAAGTAATGTAAATCAATTATCTTCTATTTTTCCTTCAGTGAACTAAAAACAATCTTTGTTCCTTCCCCCATGACAAGGAGTTTGTGGCCATGAGAGGTTAAAAATAATACAGGTTAAAATTAATCAAAATGGGGGTAAAACTAGTTCCCCGGAGGGCTTCTATGAGATTAGAGAGATTTCAATGGGCACAAAGAAGGTGTACAATCAATCATAACAACGATTATTATTTATCGTCGTAATTAGCAGATGTTATTACAGAAGGGTCAAAGCATAGGATTTATGGTCAGAAAGAACGGCTCCATTGAGTACCATGGCAGGAAATAATAGACAATGTTGTAAAGGGAAGAACGTCAAGACCCTTGTGAATCAAACTAATACTGCGTGATTCTGTGATAACATCCCACTGTGGGCCTGGAGGGGGATGTGACAGAAAGGGATGGGAGAATCTTTCAATTCAGAGGGAGAAACAGCTGTGTCCAGTGGATGGCTCCAAAGTGGTCAGGCCATAACCCTTTTCTCCTCCTCCCAAATATTCTAGAGGGAGGCTACCCTTCAGGGGGAGGGAAAAAAGTACATACTTGCTCTCTCCAACTGGTTATCCATTATGTAATCAAAATCTCTTTCTAAAACACAATTCTGATCAATGCATTCATTTACTTAAAATAATTCAGTGACTCACCATTACTGTGGAATAAAACTTGGAGCACGGTTTCCCCAGGCCCAGAGCCCCTCTGTCTTCTAACTCTGGCTACACTTTCAGATCCACTAGCACACTGTACTCTGCTCCCTGCATACTTCGCACGGGTTGTCGTCACTGCTGGCGATGGCCCTATCGCCATCTTCAGTTACCTGCCCTTGTACAGGCATCGCCTTGTACATCCCACTTCCTTCTCCAGGAAGCCTTAATACCGGGTGAGATGCCTTTTCTATGGAGTACCATTGTACTTTGTACTTCCATATGTGAATAAGCCACTCTGTATTGCACTTGGCTGTCTACCTGTTTGTTTTCTTTACTATACTATGGACATCTTACTTGTTCACCTTTGCAAATCCAGTGCTTAACACAGGTGCTTAAAAAAAAAAAAATCTGCTGAATGAATGACTGTATGAAGGAATGAGGGGATGCCTGAGAGACCGAGGTTGAAGCCTGGTAGAGCAGGTGAAGGAAGAGCTCTTCCCATTACGAGGCAGAACGCCCAGCCTTCCTAAATGGGAAGGAGTCCAAGAGACAACAGCATAATTCTTCCCACTCTTTCTGGTTCTTATCCTTTAGTGTCAGAGATACTAAGCTGGATGAACTATGGAGTACGATTCAACGTAACAAGGCAGCCTTATATTAAAAAAAACCTTTCAGGTTTATTTTTATGGGTGACCAGGCAGAACTGTGCTTTCCGTCCTTGTATGTCTCCTAGGAGCAATGGTTCAGTATTTACTAACTCAGTGTCCACACCAACTCTATAGAACATAACTACCATGAATAATGAGAATCAACTGGATGTTAATCTAAAAATCGGAAGAGGGTGACTGGCCTCTTCCTTTTCCCACCCTGCTCTACAGGTCTCCACAAGAGGGTCTACAATGACTTAGGCAGAAAGAGACTTGGGTTTAAATCTAAGGCCTGCCACTTACTCACATGTGACCTTGTTTAAGACACTAAACCCTCGCTGTCTCATTTTCTCACCTGAAAAATGGGCACAATACCTTTTAAAATCTGACCTGTTTCACAGGATCATACACAGAATCACACAGATCCTGTATGTGAAGGAAACTTTTACATGCTCAAGTGCTTTGCAAACATAAAGTACATTATCCCTTTATATTATAATTTCAAACAAAATTAGGGTGTTTCACAGGGAAATGTATGTAACACAATAAAGACCTCATGGTTAAAGGCTAACAGCTTTCCTATATTCCAGATTTCATAGAAAAAAGCCAAGAACACAGAGACAAAAATCAAGCTGATGTTAAATTATAAAGTTACAAATGACAAATAAAGCACAAATGGATTGACTGAACAAATTTGAGAATAAATAAGTAAATAATAATGACGCTGCCTTTCCCTGATCTTCCACTATCACCCCTCTGGCTTAGCCAACTAGATTCCCTAAGCACTGAACTAGCCAAAGGTGTTGTGAGATGAATTCTCAGGAGCCTACAGGCATGGCCAAATGTATCTAAAACTGGAACAGAAGGGAAAGCAGCCAAGTTCACGTTTGCCGTCATCCTTCCTTTCAACTGCTTGAGGCACCACAGCAAAAAGGTCTTACATCCCAGACCCCCAGCTTCCTAGGAGCTCTGCATAATGACCTGAATCCCTGGAGAGTCCCTCATCCTAGTATCCCTCTAAATGCACTTTAGGAAAAACTGGGGAAACAAAAATTACTTGGCATTTAAGGGAATTCCTCACCTTTTTTCCTTCACAGGCTGGACACCAGTTTATGAGTAAAGGTGGGAGAGACTACTGTGAAAGACTTTTCTAAGCCCTGTATTTCTAACTCAGAATCCCTAAAGAGCATCAGATGAAAACAGTGAGACTTATAGACCAACCACCTCTACTGCCAGATAAAGTTACAGTAAAGTATCAAACATTATCAGGAACTCCAATAAATCTTTATCTAATCAATCAAGGTCTTCTCTCCTAAGGAGGCAAAAGAAAACCAAGATATCGTTAGGCGAAATACCAGGTCAAATGTGTACAGCCTTCTGTTTCACCTTATTTCTAAGATATCTCTAAATAATTTGAAAAGATGTTTAAATACCTGAAACACATATTTGTTGTCTTAGTGAAATGGCAGGTGGGGTGGGGTGCAAAACAACCAGGGCCTTTGATCCTGATAATTTCCTTTCTGCACTGAAACAGAAGAGGTCAACCTGAAAAGGCTGGCGCATGTCCTGCTCTTGACAAAGGTTTTCGTTCCCAGGCCCTCCCACAGGTATGCTTATGCCAGGCAATGACTCTGCCTCACTTAGGCCATTCCTCGATCCTACAAATGAGGCCAGAGAACAGTGGTCTGCAATATCCCAGAGGCAGGAGCGAAGTAAGATTCTGACATTCCTTAAGAACAGTCTTCTCCTGAGTCTGCTGAACGTGGGAAACTTCTGGATGGCAGGGAAGAGTCCCTATAACCAGAAACGCATTTTCTAAAGACTAACATTCCACATGTCACCATCATTCACGGAGGTAATTTTAAAATAGTCCTTTGAAGCCTCATCTCTGTCCCTTCTCCCTTCTCACTGTGACTTCTCTTCTTGCTAAATGAGGCATCGCAATGGCCCCAGGGTTGGTGCTGGTCTCTGTATCGTCTCCTCACTACGCAAGGCAGAGAACCCGGCAGCATGGGCATCACCTGGCAGCTTGTCAGGAATACAGAATCTCAGGCCCCATCCTAGACCTGCACTTGAAGAAGATTCCAGGTGATACATATGCACATTCAAGTCTGAGAAGCACTGCTCTAAGCCAGCTACAGTATCAGCCAATCATCCCCTTTTCTGGGTAAACCAATCCTCCTGAGCCTAGGAAGGCCCAAACTGGGCACTCCAAAGTTCCCAGCATCACTTTCCACTCTTCCTAGTATGTACATGGAAAGCAGGCTGTTTTCCAGAGAACACGGGTAGAGTACCTGGCACGTTACTTAGCAGCATCCAGAAGCCACTCAAAAACATGTATTTTCTTTCTTTATATGTATTCACCACTGCCAATATCGTCATATCTCTTCCAGTTGGCCCCTTTCCTGTCGTGATATCTCTTCTACCCAGTATCTAAGATGGATCCTCTAGTGAAGTGATTCACCAGGCTCTAATGCCAAAGTTTCAGCTCTACAATTTATTTGCAGGGTGAATCAGGAAAACTAACCTTTCTAGGCCTCAGTTTTCTCCTCTGTCAATGAAGATGTTAATAACAGTGCCTTCGCCTTGGGGCTGCTGTGAAAGCATTTCATTTGACATTACCTACAGCTAGTATTCATGCTCAGACCGAGACCTTTCCCCCAACTTAGTTTGGATACTTTCCCTTTCCTTTAAAGGGCTACAACACTGACAGGCCAAGCCACACGACTTAGCACCTAACTGTAACACTCCTGTAGAGATCTTTGTTTTGTGTTACTGGTTTTGTCTCCAAACCTGGATCTTAAAAAAAAAGTGTCAGGATGGTGGTTGTTTTTACAGACTGTGAAAGTAGTTTATAGGAAATACAGAAAATATAGAAAAATATGAAAAAGAAATAATAAATAATCCATAATCTCACCACTAAGAAAAAACAACTGGTAACATTTTAGAGGATTTCCTTCCAAACAAGATCTTAGTTTCAGGAGAGCATAGGGCCAAGTCTTAATCTTCTCAGAATTCTCCCTGGCTTCCCCACACCTAGCGCCTCTCTCCACACTCCCAGCACCTAACCTACCACAGTGCTAAGCACTTTGCAGCTGACAAACACACGCCTGTTCCTTAGCTGAGAGACGTACTGATGTGGCTTGCCCCCACACCTGTGTGTGGACTGTCTGCATACTGAAATAAGGATACTGTCAGAATTAGTGACATAATCTGTTTAGTTCTTTGTTCGGTTCAAGCTGCTGTAAAAGCGTGCTCAGATCTGTACTCCATGTGACTGCTGTTTGTGTTTGGTGGTGGAAGTGTGTTTCTGGTGAAGCCTCATGTTTCCCTTTTCAACATACTCAGATTACACATACCTACAGGAATGGTCATCCCGTGAATTTTATCAGCCCAGCCTGCGTAATACCGAAGGGTTTTGATGACTCCTTGCAAATCGACGTAAAAAGCTTGCAGGAACGGTTTGCCACCATTTAGGGATTCCATGGTCTGTAGGAAAAGAAATGGAGAGAACTTTCCAATGATACACTAAGTAACTTCTACAGCAGAAGAAAAAAGGAATAGAGAGAATACAAATGAATCTGAACAATGATGCATACCTGGTCAACTCTGATTTCCCAAATGAAAAGATTTTTAGTACCATCTGTTTAGTTTAGTTTCCAGTAAAAACCACCATGAGCTTATATGTGTGTGTTCTTGTGCCTGTGTGTTTCCAGTAACCACTATCCCAATATATAAACACAACTGGTGATAAAGAAGTGTTCTGCTTGTCAAACCAGCTTCTGTTGTATTAATGATCAGAGCTGCGTGGGGATTTTTTGGAGTCTATACCAGTATTCTGAATCCAAAATGAGGGGCAGGGACGTGGGCTTTTATGCAGTTGATGAGACTATAAAACGTTCTCCACACTGCCAAGACCCCTGCTGAGAAATGGAACAGCCATGGTGCACAGCGAGTTTATTTATTATCACCAAATAAACAAGATCTCCTCTAGGGAAGCTCATACTATAACAACTTGAGGGCTGTTTTTTCATAAATATTTATGTTAATAACCATTATCTATTACGAGAGAAGTATCTGGTCCATTTAATAAAAATAGAGTTAGAGTTATTAAGCAGTTTTAGATGATAAATGTTATTATTTTAATGACACATTCCTAAATAGGGTAAATCTGTAACATAAAGAATTACAAATGAACACAATGAAATGAGAAGAGTATTTCGACTTGAGAAATAGTAAAGGTGTTACATATTTAACAAATAAAATTTAAAAAACATGTTTGTAATCTCATGTCCTTCTCTTCGAGGACATTTTACAACACATACTGGTACGAAAATTATTTGAGTGCTGGCAAAACTAAAATTGAAATATTCTCCATTCAATGACATGAAAATATTATTTACAGTGCAATTTTTCCACTTACCATGTGTATAAGATGGAACTCATTTTAAAATATCATGTGACCTATTCACTGTATATTGGCTCACCTTTATTAAAGGAAATCAAGTTATTTCCCAGTTCTTTTTAGAATATTTGTATGTCTGTGAGATGAGCATTACATTCTCCACGCAGCAGGCATAGAGCCAAGGTCCTGACAGCATAGACTGAAGTAGAGTCAATAACCAGAACTGGGCCACCTAAATGGTCCATCCCTATGAGCTGTTGACACCAGCTAAACTTACCTGAGAGTTGCCAGCCCTAAGTTTATTTTCAATTGTGTTTACCTGGGTGCAGTATTAACTTCAGCATTCTGGTCAGGAGCTCCCCCTATATTCGAGAGGCTACCTCTTAACAAAACTCACTCCTCTCATGGCTTGGGAGTGTTTAAAAGTAGAAATCACATTTAGGTGTGATGGGAAAAAGGACTTGACCACAGTGAGACATATGTCAGAAACAGGATGGCATATGAATTTTATGACATGAAAATATAACACCAGAAATGAACTATATCATCATCTAGTAAGTACTGCTAATCTAATGTTATAAATATTGTATGGATTTAACTCAATTAAACAGACACTTACAGACCATCAATGTGCCCCCATTCACCGTTTATGTGTCACAAACTATGCTAGGATTACAAAAAATGGAGTAAAATATAATTCTCACTCTCAAAGAAATCATAATCCAGTAAAGAGACAGCATATAGACCAGCATTCCCCCAAGGTACTCCAAAGAATTCTGTTTTGTACGATATTGACAGGTTAGCCAGAAAAATAGTGTTGAGGCTCCAACAGGTTTGAGAAACACTGAGTAGGGCTTGTCAGAGTCTTTAATATGCTAAGTGTCTTATGACTCTCCATGGAACACCTTTTCTCACTATAATATAAACACCTCATTGGAAACAGTATTCCTTGAAGTACCAAACTAGAAAATATTTTCGTAGATAAATAAATGTTATATATAGCAAGAGTTCTAAACCATCTCCATAAAGGATTCATTTTTGTTTCCACATTATGAACAGACGCATGAAAGGGATGGTAGGAGGGAGAGCCATGCTAGAAACGACACTGAGGAAGAGTACTAATGCTTCCCTCTCCCAAAGCGAACCCAATAGTGATCTGATTTCCCAAGCAGAGGGTAGAATATAGTATTCATGGCTTTAATGCCCTGACTCAACGAGGATGCCCTAAATATTAAATGATCAACTATGGGTCATGCAGGTGGAGATCCCTGCAAGACAGGTATACTGCACAGGCATTCCTAAATGGTTCCAATTTCCAAAAAAGTTGGTATTCTCTAAGAAACTGACTTCTATTTTTAAAATAGCAACGACAACAATAACAACAATAAGCCACTAGGAGAGGGGACATTCCTTATGTGGGAAAATGATTGTTTTAGTGAAAGAAAGTTGCTGTCTCCTTCTGCCTCTCCTATTAGTTCTAAAAGAACAAAGGGAGCAGAAGTATATGAGAGGTGCATATCATGCTCTCTGCTTCTGAAGGATTCTCTTTAGTCAAGAGGGGCTAACTCTGGAGAGGTAAAACTCTTTTGATCGCCAACAGTAATTTGGTATTGGTTTCCTGCAAGGAGCATGGTGACTCTCCTGTTGCTTGACTGTTTTTGTTCTTTTTGTTGAGGGTGGGAGGAAGGGGGACGAGGAAAGCAGGAAGGTCCTTACCAGTCATGGGAAGCTATGGTTTTGTTCTTCAAAATTCCATAAGAAGAGGCACTCATCTGGTCCTCCGCTTCCCCATCTGATCCCAAAAGCCAAACCTCTCCCATTTTTCATGTGTATTACGTACTCCTTAGCTTCTTCCCCAGGTCTGCTTCACATCATACTTTCAGAAAGACTGAGGAATCTAAATTTCAATGGAATGGTAAACTTGGGGTAAAGACGTGATGCTTTCTTAGGTTACTTACTGCAAGGACTGCCCTGTCTCGTTCCACCAAGTCTGCAAGCTTATCCAACAGACGTCCTCTTTCTGAAGCATCCATCCTTCTCCACACTGAGCCGAGAGAGAAAGCCAGGCGGGCTGCCTGCACTGCTTTGTCTATATCTGCCTGTTAGAGAGGAAGAGGCACAAGTGAAGAGAGGGATTGCTACGAATAAAGGAAGAACCATCTGCTTTCACAAAAATGGTGATGAATGAACGCCAGTGGTGATGTCTGGAGAGCATAAGTTTATTGCTTTGTTGTCTGAAGGTAGTTATTTCATACGAAATTTTTTTCTAGGACAAACATACCTTGTCTGCTTCTTGAACTTCACACACCTGTTCTCCTGTGGCTGGATTATAGACAGGGAACACTCTCCTGCTCTCCGAGTTCTGCCACTCATTGTTAATAAAAATCTAAGGGAGTAGACAACAGAATGGGATCCATGAGACAGGTGACAGGAAGTCAGTCAATGGTGCCGTATTATGTGGAAGTACCACAGTAGTAATACTTGCTCTGTATGCTTGCTGGTATATAATTAAAGTATAGAATTTGAAGTGTTACAAGAAACCGTAGATCATTATGCAGTCCAGCCTCACCCCCAATTCAGAAATTTCCTTTGTGATATTTTTAACTCAACATCAGCCAAAGATTAAATATAATTCTTACCTTTAGTGAAGCTGTCAACTACTCAGAGAGTCGCACAAGGAAGGAAGGATAGACAGTCTCACATACATACAAACCATACACTGAGATTGAGAAAGTATTTATTATAGTCCAAGCCCTGGCCAATATCCCAAAAGGGTAGATCGTGGATCAAACTGACAGTCATCCGGCCTTAGCTACTAGTTTCTCTGTCAGAGGAATAAGTGACTTCACAGGGAAATCTGAAGGGTGCTGGAATAAGCATTTGCCTCATTTATAGTCAGATCCTGAACTGAGCAATGACTGACCAAACCAACTGGTGAGTTAAACAACTTACATGTGTAAATCCAAGTTAGATTTCTTTCCTTTTGCTAGGTAGGCTATGTGGCTCAGCAAAGGGAAAAGGTCTATAACTTTCAAATGGATCTCTCTAGGATTTCTTAAGAGCCTTGGTTTCTTTATATAGGAAATAAAGATTATATTAAAATGGCAAAGAAATGGTTTAAGAAATTATTCAAGTCAATTTCTCAGAAGATTTGTAAGATATGCATTAACGAAGGAGGGAAAATACAGGCAAAAACATTAAAAAATTTTTATTGATGTTAAGAGAGAAATCCAAACTAATATTTTTGGACTATGAAAGCCCAAAGAATACACAAAGATATTTTACTCTATAAAATTTATGGGGCTTCCCTGGTGGTGCAGTGGTTGAGAGTCCGCCTGCCGACACAGGGGACGCGGGTTCGTGCCCCCGTCTGTGAAGATCCCACATGCCGCGGAGCGGCTGGGCCCGGGAGCCATGGGCGCTGAGCCCGCGCATCCGGAGCCTGTGCTCCACAACGGGAGAGGCCACAACAGCGAGAGGCCCGCATACCGCAAAAAAATTAAATTAAATTAAATTAAAAAATTATGGCACAACACTGAAAATTTCTGAACCTATGAACCATTCAGTAGTCAGTCAGTTTAGAACAAACACAATGATAAACTGATTTGCTACTGCCTGGCATTTTAATAATCACGGACGAGGCTGAGTGTAGATCTACAATTTAAAAAATTAAGTTCTAGATTATGCCAAAGCTTTGCTTTTTCCTTGATTTGATAAAACAATGAGTCTGTGTTGAAGGAGTCTTCTTTTCCTGAAGGCTTTTTAAGATAAAGGTGGGGAGGGGGAGACCTTAAACCTGTAAAAGCACTTAATACAAATGTATTGAGCACAAACACAGCGACCTTGTAATTGAGTAACAATTTTTTAAAGTTTTTACTATGAATGTCTAAACATGCTTAACATACTGTATTCATTTGCATAATGTATTCAATAAATGCATAGATATTTCTAGACACAGGAGAGGCAAAGATGATTAAGAGTTTCAGCCTTCCAGGGTCAACAGTCTCTAGTAGTTCATTAAATACTCACAACAACCCTAATGGCAGGATTTTATTATCTCAACTGAAGATGAAAAAACTGAGAGGTTAAAAGTCCAAAGAAGCAGGTTCTCATCGTGGCTCTGATTCAAAGTCTGCTGCTCTTTCCACTACACCGTGGTTTCCAGGACTGCTCAGCCCAAAGAAACACAACTAGTTATGTCCAAGCCTAAATTAGATCTATAGTTCTTGGACTCCTGATCTAGTTCTCTTTTCACTCCATTTAACAAATTTCCTATCATTTCACAGCTCATCAAATCTGCACACTCCTTTGAAATACAATATGATCTCAAAGGTAGCAAAAGAAAAAAATTAAGAGGTTAGTTTCATTAAAGATTCACTTCTAGAGATTATCAGGTTTAAAGGAGAATGGGTCTTGCCAATATTCCTTATTCCTTTTATTCACTATTTGACTGAAACTTCTTAACCCTTGGAACATCATCAGATCCAATTATAGTTTTAAGCTTCTTTGTTGAACAGTTCTAAATGTATGTAAGGATTGATATTTCATGACTTTTATTGTTTCTTAGAGGTCTTCCAAAGATCAAAGAGAAAAATTACTTATTTTTTAATAGAATAAAATTCATTCTCTTACTGTTATCATTTAAGTACACTGATCGTTTTATCAATCTAAAATACATTATGGGATCTTAGTGAGCTTTTCCTGTATCTTGAAACATATTGCTAATTTCATCATTCTCGGAATTATTTCATCACTCATCAATTATTTCCAACTATGCTTAAAAAAACCCTAAAATAATAAGGAAACAAAAACATTATGGAACTTTCTAGAATTGAATAAATAAACACATCCCCACTATTTCATCATCCTTTGGTTTTATTGTTGTATTATCCAAAGTAATGCATTATGTCTCAAAAGGGTATAAATAAAGAAGTGTGGAGACACCATCTTTGTCATATTCTTTTCACCTTTCATTGAACACAGTTAAGAATTCAGAATTTTTCATTTCTGTCCATAATGAGAAAGAGAAGAAAACTAATAGAAAAAGACATTTCATAGCTGTTAGATGAGTCAGAAGCTGAAGGCAAAGAGACAGAAACACGAGAGACTGCTGATGAGGGTGAAATTGACTGTATAAGCAAAATCTTGGACTATGAGTCTTTAGGATAAATAAATGCATTTTCTCCAAATTAATAATCAGAGAGCAAACAAGATACTTATCAACACAAAAAGGAAATACGACAGTCTAACCCAACTAGTCATTAATAGGAAGGACTTCATAATTTAAAACCATCCTGTTTTGATAAGAGAACATGTAAGAATTCTTTTATCTTTCATGATATTTGTGGGTAAAAATTTACTTGATGTGATTCAAAAATGGACACATGCTGAAGGTAGGTGTATACACAAAGGTGACTGGAGTACAGATATTACGTAGAAATAAAAAAGTTCATTGGATTGATCAATCTAATTTACATTTATAAAACTAAAAATGAAAATGCTTTTGTAATTATGGAGCAAAAATGGCCATGCTCTTTTCTACAAAATTATGAGCCTTCAAACTTTTCAACAGTATTACATTATGATAATGCAAATGCAAGAAGAACCAGAAGTAACAGTAAGATATAACCTATAAGAGATGTGTTTAAAATCTGCAATCAGTATTTATGGCATAAATATTTCCAGTTTCAAACATGATGGCTGATGAGTAGTTAGTTGCATTAAAGGCCATTGCTCACTTCATGTACATATACCTCCAATACCAGGAAAATATGGAAGAAAAATTGGTTTTGTTATGTTTAAATTCTTGTTCTGTTGTTTTTACTGTCTCTTTACTTTCACTTTTCTAAATTTTTCATAAAATAACTTAATTTTAAAACTTTATAGCCTCCATTGGGCCCAGATGGTAAATGTGATGACTATTTCTCCTGGTATGCCAAACATTAAAATATTTGATAGTTTTACTATGCTATTATTTCTTACAGACCTAGCCTTATGACACTTAAAAAACAAAGGAAAGCAAATTCCTCCAAAATACTTGAAGGTTTTCATCTTCTCTGAGCAATTTCAAAAGTTTTGAATGTTGTCTAAAGTGTTCTTCTCTGACCAGGGCTCCTTAAAGAAACAATATATCTCAGGGCTCTAGATGGAAAGGACAAGATGATCCTGGAATACTATGGTGCCAGAAATCAAGTACATGCTCAGAAACTGATGGGGACATATCAAAAGGACACAGGAGCCAACATGAAGGGGCTCCCAATGGCCAATACTGGGACAATTTAAGCAACAAAACAAATAGTGATAGTAATGGGTTATTACCCAAAGAATAAAAAAGGCATCCAAGAGTCCAAAATGATATAAATTTTTTATGAATAAATAAATGGGGGATAAGGAAAAGCTGTTCTTAACAGTAGAATTCAAACTAATAGCTGTCAAAGAATGATGGAATTAGATTATCACCATGTGTCAAACCCCACAATAGTAATTGCTTCGGGCAAATATCATCAATGGATGGTAAAATTAGTGGGTAAAAGTATAATGAAAAATTGGATGTTTATGTAGTCTCAAAGTATCTCCCCTCAAAAGATGCTTATTAATGACAAAGTAGAAAATAGTAACTTATCATTGGAGAAACTTGGCAGACAGCACCTTAATCAAGTGATCAAAGTTAACATCACCAGTAATGGGAGAAATTGATCTTTCTTAACATTTCATCTGCTTGTCCTACTGATAATTAGAAAGCTGTGTTGATTATCTCCCACTTTGGTGGTAGATTTGTCAATATATCCCTTAGCTCTATCATTTTTATACTTATAAATTTTAGGTTATTTTATTAGTGGAACTATTAGATGATCTGATAAAACAAAACCATTTATCAATATGAAGTGACCCTCTTTATTACTAATGAAGCTTTGTGTCTTAAAGACTATTTTGTTTAATATTAGTAAAGCCACGTAAGCTTTTCTTTAGTATTTTCCTGATAGATCTCTTTTCCCATCATATTACTCTCTCTCAATTACATCTTTATTATTTTCATGTGTCCCCTTTAAATGATGTATGGCTATGTTTTATTTTATTCAATATGAAAATCTGCCTTTTAACTGGCAAGTTTAATACATTTGTATTTATTGTGATATTTTGTGTTAAATAATGTACCATGTGATATCTGGACTTAATGCTTTTTATTTGTCTTGCTTTACTTTACTTCCTGTCTTCTCCCATCTTGCCTCTTTTTTCAACTTGATTAATGTTTGTTGTTTGTTTTATAATTTCCCCCCTTTATTGGTTTGGAAATTGTACATGATCTTTCATGTACATGAACATGTACATCTTTCAAGAACATGAACATCTTTAATGTTCTTTCACTGATTATCCATGATATTTTAT